CTAGCAATCCAAAACAGTCCAGTGGAGGCTGAGCGGTGGGTGTTGCCTTCTGACACACTTCTGGTGATGTCAGGGGGTGTGGCATATGCAAATAAGTTATGCAAATGAGTTATGCTAATGAGATCCTGCACCTCTTTTTCTACGAAATGACCCCTGAGTATGACCCATAGGAAAGATCATGCCACAGCATTTCCACCGTCTTGGTGAGCCAGTGGCACTTCTGGAATAAGAGAATGACAACTTCTGTGGCTATTTAGCAATGACCAAAACACTGAGGACAGAGCACTGCAACCTCTTTCACCTAAAGAAGGAACACAGTCTGTGATAGTTAAGCTATTGTATCTAGATGAGGATTTCCTGCCTGCTACAATCATTATTGTGTTTATTACCACCACCACCAGAGGACTATGGAGTAGCACAGGTTCTGTGTAAATCCTGGGCAACTTCAGGTATCTCAGCCCTTCCCTTGGTGAATTATCCAAACTGTCCTCCTCTGAACATGACATTTGGGGAAGGGATTCACCTCTGTGCACCTTTGTCCCCTCCTAATGCTAACCATGTGTGGCTCAAGTGGTTAAGACGCTGAACTGCAGACCAGAAGGTTAGTAGTTCAGCAGTTCGAGACCCAAGTGTGCCGCATGACGGAGTGAGCTCCTATCTCTGGCCCCAGCTCCTGCCAACCTAGCAGTTCGAAAGCAAGAAATTGCAAGTAGATAAATAGGCACTGCTTCGGTGGGAAGGTTAACAGCGTTCTGTGCACCTTGGCATCTAGTCATGCTGGCCACATGACCATGGAAACATCTTCGGACAGCGCTGGCTCTTTGGCTTGGAAACAGAGAATCCCTAAAGTCAGATTCGACTGGCTTTCGAGCAAGGGAAACCTTTACCTTTACCTTTAATGTTAATCATGGTCCCTTGAAATAGTATAATGACTAGGTAGATTATAGGACTTTTTCTGGCTGTATTTTCTATTTAAAAGTAATCTCTAAATGTTGGCAGCAAGATAATTTGGAGAATAGTTCTGCTAGTATTAGCAGGCAGGTTCTGAATCCATTAACTAATTAAAGATGCTGTTGGTTTCTCCCCTGTTGTCTTCTTTATTTTTTAGTAACTGCTCTGTACCACCTGCCTCTGTGCTCTGCTCTCCATAGCAGCAACACAAAAACATCTGGTTGCATATGCAAAGACCACAGTTCATATTTATCCACAGAGGATAGCTTGCCAAACAACAAGAGAGGCTGAGCTAGACTGAGAGAGGTAGCCAGAGCTCTGAGGAGCT